TGTGTGTGTGTGTGTGTGTGTGTGTGTGTGTGTGAGAGAGAGAGAGAGAGAGAGAGAGAGAGAGAGAGAGAGAGAGAGAGAGAGAGAGAGGGTGGTTCTGGAGTGGGAAGGGGAATGGTAAGGCCAATTAATAGCATGTGTGGGAGCAGATTTTGAAATATCCATCCTGGCCCGCAACTGTTAAGAAAACTGTCACAGTTGCCGTGTTGAAGCACCCAGGACTGTGGCAGTGGGTGGGAGGAGATATGCTTACGTTTGAACAATTGCTTAGTCTGATGGCTGTTCCTATGCTCTGCACAGTGCGATGGTTGCTCCATTCCCTGAGTTCATAACCGAGTCTGAGAAAAAAGTAACAAAAACGAGCAATGATGTGAAGAAGGTAATTGCGATGTGTAATGGTTGATCGGTATGCCCCTTTTTTATGATAAGGACTCATTCAGGAGCCTCAGATGTTTCCACCTCTGGATTCTTGGTTCTCAGGTCTTTCAGTGTGGTTGGAGCTGGCATGTGTCGCTTTCAGTCAGGCCAGCAGCAGTAGTTAATGAATGTGAAATCATTGCCTTTTTTTTCTAGCAAATCCGTGTCTCTTCTCTATACTATTAAAAAACTGCAAAGGGCCCGATGTGAAGCTCGGGCTTAGCGAAAATCGGTGCCGCGCGGCAGGCCCACAAAACGGCCCGAGTGAGGTCCCGCGCGGGAAAAAGCGTACCGTTTCGTGTGCACGTGCAAGGCGAAAATCGGTGGTTGGGCAACGCGAGGGACGCTGGCCAGTCCCACAAAGAGGCCCTAGTGAGGTGCTGCACGCAGCGTTTTTTTTTTGTCTGGGCTGTGGCGTTTTCCATGCGTCTTTTCGAAAACCTCCAGGGGGTGTCGATACAGAAAAGGTCTGTGGAGCAAGGCAGGGGGGCGGGCCGACGCCACCTCTTCACTCATCACAACACGAGAGAGAGAGAGAGAGAGAGAGAGAGAGAGAGAGAGAGAGAGAGAGAGAGAGAGAGAGAGAGAGAGAGGAGGGGCGACGAGGAGGGAGGCAGGAGGAGGAGGAGGATGGAGAATGGAAGGGAAGAGGATGATGACAACCGATGAAGGAGCAGAGAGATGCATTGAGACACGGCCCAGACTAGAGGGGGAGGAAGGTGAAAGGATGAAGAGTGGGTGGCAAGGAGGATGAGAGGGGGCGATACGATGACGATCGAAAGATTAGAGGAACGGGGGAGGATCAATGCAGAAGGGACGAGGACGAGAGAGAGAGACATTTCGGGCATGTTTGCACGTGTGTGCTCGGGTGGGAGAAAGAGGAAGTACGAAGAGCGAGAAGCACGTTTGGGCCGATCGAAATGGAGGAGGGAGCATGAGGAGCGGCGAGGATGAGGACGGCCAATGATGAATGGAAAAGAGGAGGAGAGAAGGGACGACGAGAATGGAGGAAAGAGGAGGATGGAACAAAGAGCACGGCACACAATAAGAATCCATGGAGGAAGGGAGAGGATGTAGGGAGGAGCGGCGAAGACAAGGTGTGTGTGTGTGTCTGTGTGTGAGTTCTTGCTAAGATTCCATTGCCTAAGATTCGACCCCGTTTCTTCCCAAATCGCCGAAATTGGTGCCCAAAATGCTTGTGCGCCAGTTTTCCAAAAGCGAAGGATAACTCCGCTCCTTTCCTGCGTTCTTTGATTTAAGTGTGCGCGCACACACAATGCCCCAGCTCATCAGCCTGCAGGTGTGCTAACGGGACAACTGACGAGGTTTGAGCACATCTGTAACAATACTACCGACTTCAAAGCTGAAGTGACCTCCTTGACACGACGTATGCTTGTTCGGGGCCATCCTTCGAGTGTCCTGGCCAAAGGCTGGACTGCATATATGAGCGTGGCCGGCAGCGCCGACTACTGACACATGTCACACTGCTTTCCAACTGGTTTCGCCACATGGTGCGCTGGGTAATTGCTCACCCACTGTCGCAGGCAAACACTGCACACAGGCCTTCCACCCAACCATGTGCCACAGGCCGTCGCTCACTCCAAGACACCAATCCTGACTGCAAACCGCCCCAGCTCTCCACACAGCCCAACGCAGCAGCTGCGCCTCCTGTTATCCGAATTGGCAGATACCAATGTGCCTCCGCCAGCTCAGCTGGAGACGAGGCCCACCGCAGCAAGCAATGTACATGCTGCGGAGGTGGCTGCAGGGGATGACGGCCACCCCACTCATGCGGCCGTTGCTACTGAAACTGTTTCTCCCTCATCGCCACAGCCGCCACCACCATCACCACCACCACCACCACCTCCACCTTCTCCTCCTCCACCACCATCATCACCACCACCACTACCCCCACCACCACCGCCGTCATCCTCACTGCCGCCACCACCATTATCCCCACCACCCCCACCATCACCACCAGCCTCTCCGCCAACATCCTCTACTACATCCCCCCCGTCATCTCAACCCTTCTCTGCTGCGTCTTCCTCTTCTTCTTCCTCTTCTTCCTCTTCTTCCTCTTCTTCCTCTTCTCTACCCTCCTCATCATCCCCCTCCTCCTCCGCCTCCTCCTCCCCTTTGTCAACATCGTCATCATCAATACATTCCTGGTCAGATCAGCTGTCACAGCGGCCTCTTCGTCGGAGGCTTCCACCGTTATATCGACCGTTGCAGACACCTCTTCGCCGGAGGCGCTCCCCGTCTCCACTGCCACCTCCGAGACAGCACCCTCGTTTGTCCTTGAAGAGCATGATCACCGTGCCCCCTGCAGGGGTTCGAGATCTGCTCCGACGCCAAGCCCACAACTGTGCAGAATGACGTCGCCTCGCTCAGTATACACTAGCCCGGAATAGTACATATCGAGTCCGATGCCAACAATGTGGCAATGATTTCTTCAGCACTGTGAGCCTGTGTGTGAACATCGAAGTCTCGTTGATAGTACTGCACCTGGAGTGAACATCGAAGTCCTGTCTATGGCATTCACGGGAAGAAGACTACAACTGCAGCCTGCTCCCCAGAACCCCTTGCCCGGCTTGGACCGACATATTCGCGCATACATCTTGCATTGTCCAGGTCATTTCAGTGCTGTCACCCTGGCAGAGATTAGCATTTTTTTTTTGAATTGGCACTTCACCTAACCCATCCACATTCTTTAAACTACAGCCCGCCCTCAAAAGAAATTAAAAAAAAATCTCAAGGTGACCCAACCCACCCAAGTGTTTTTCTGAAATTTTCCTGCTACACCCAACCCGCCCGTCACCCATAAAAAACCTTCACCCTGACCCACCCACACCCGCGAGAACAAAATTACCCGCCCGCACCCGGTACCTAATTATTTTCAACCCGCTTCCGCCCGTTCCTCATTGTCTCAGTCCCTTTGAACATTTACACACATCACAGCAACATGACATCCTTGGATGACGGTGCGAAAATTCGAAGCATCTCCACTTTGGACCGTCATTGGGTGACAGCACGAAAATTCGAAGCGCTCCACAAGTTTAAATTTGGGAAGCGAACCTTGCCACTTGCTGTGGTTAGGTTTCATCCCCGTTGTTTTAATGGGAGCAAACATCCTGTTGTTGTGGCCGTGGTCCAGCTGCCACCGGCCCACCCGTAGAGTGTGACACATTTTTTCAAGGAGGATCCCAAAGTTTGATCTGCCATTGGCGCGGCTCTTTTTTTTTCGAGGACGACAACTTTTTTTTCCAGGAGGGTGCAGGGTGGAGATTTTCGGTTTCCTGGGCCTCCAACTTTTGAAGTCCACAGGTGGACCGCAGATGGGAAATATGTATGGGGGGGGGGGGTTCTTATGGGTTGTCATGGGTCTGTGGGTCGGGTGACCCTGTCACCCACCCATTCAGGTGACCCAGGCCTTACATTGACCCGCCCATCACCCACCCAGGCTGGCTCGCTAGACCCAGCCTCATCCCACCCGTGCCAGCTTATCAAGACCCACACCTAACCCAATGCCTCATGGGTGGGGTGGGTGGGGGTGGGTGTGGGTCTGAGTACCCGTTGCTCATCTCTGCACCCTGGCGGATAATTCATGGGTCTTATGGGAAAATGCGAGTAGGGTGCACACGGCGGGAAGTATGAACTCTTTCTACAACCAAGCAGCAAATTCTCACTCCATCTGGTTTGTCCGTCAGGAACAGTATGTTCCTTTGCACTTGCAAGCGCAACACCCTCCGGAGAGCAACCCGGCTGAACACCCACCCCCTTCTCCTGCACATGGCCAAGCAGTGTCACCTCCCTGTGTAGACCGAACAGATTCGCCTTCTGGCAATCACTAGACTTCTCCTGAGGATGGTGACTATGCCCTCCCATTGTGTCGTCACACAGCTACAGCTCGGTTGGCATGCACACTGCACAGTCTCTGCT